ATATATTTCCCTTACCTACACGTTCCTCAGAGTCTGCTATGGACAGAAAAAGAAAGCACTTGGGCAGTGTCTGATTCATACATAGTACAGAAAAAGTAGGAGCTGAGTAGATGAATTAATTAATAGCACAGGACCAGCTGGTGGTGCAGTGGTTAAGGAGGCTGGATACCACATGGCTGACTTCATAGTTTGAGTCCTGGACCCTGCAGCTTGAAAAAGCACACCAGACACATGTGTGTGCATGCCCAAATTCCCAAGAGGAGACTAGAGAAGAGATTGTAGCTTGGGCATCCCTGTGGTGGGTGAATTTTACTTTGTCTCTCTCTCTCTCTATCTGTCTCTCTCTAATGAGTGCATGCACTCTATAGCAAAAGAAATAAATATTAAAAATAATAAGAAATAAAGATTTTAAAAAAGGTACCAGCAGATGGTGCAATGGTTACTTTGTTGGACTCCCACGTAGTTGATTGCAGTTCTAGGCCTGGACCCAGTGACTTAAATCTCATGCTGCGGGGGACCAGCAGTTAGCGTAATGGCTATATTGCTGAACTCCCATATAGTCGACCACAATTCAAGTCCTGGACCCGATGGCTTGAACTCACACCAGGCGCGCGCGCGCGCGTGTGTGTGTGTGTGTGTGTGTGTACCCAAGATCCCAAGAGGAGAAAGGAGGAGAAGGGATTGTGGTGTGGCCATGCCCCTGGGGGGTGATTTCTCACTTTCTGTTTCTCTGTCTCTATGGTGAGTGCATGCGCCCTGTAGCAAAAACCTCTCCAAAAAAAAAACAAACACAAAAAACAAAAGAACTCATGCTGAGCATGTGTGCATATGTGCCCAAGAGCCTAAGAAGAGAAAGGAGAAGGGATTGTGCTGTGGCAATCCCCCTGGAGGTGATTTCTCACTTTCTGTCTCTCTGGCGAGTGCACCCGCCCTATATCAAAAATCTCTGTCTAAACGAAAAAAAATAAAACATGCTGGGTGCATGTGTGTGCATGCCCAAATCCCAAGAGGAGGGAGCCAGCAGGTGGCATGGTGGTTAGGGCAGCTGGACTCCCACATGGCTGACTGCGGTTCAAGTCCCAGACCTGGCAGCTTGCTTTATCACTTTCCTTTCCTCTCTGTCTCTTTCTGGTCAACTTCAAAAATAAAATAAAAATAATGACAATGAATAAAATTAAATAATTCTGTAAAAAGAATTCCAAGAGGAGAATGCAGAAGAGATTGTGATGTGGCCATCCCCTGGAGAGTGCTTCCTCACTTTCCCTGTTTCTCTCTGTCGCTCTTGGATAAGTGCACATGCTCTATTGCAAACTGGAAAAAAAAAATTAAAAGAAAAAAAATTAACAGTACAGTTAGGACCAGAGCTAGTGTTTTGGGTTCATCTCTTTTCTTTTTTTTCTTTTTAAGAGGTTTTTGCTATAGGGTGTGTACGCTTGCCAGAAAGGCAGAGAGAGACAAAGATACAGAAAGCGAGAAATCACCCCCCCAGGGGGATGGCCACACCATAATCCCTTCTCCTTCATTCTCCTCGGGATCTTGGGTACGCACATACACGCGCCCGGCGTGAGTTTAAGCCACTGGGTTCGGGACTCGAACTGTGGTCGACTACATGGGAGTCCAGCGACATAGCCATTACACCACTGCTGGTTCCGAGTTCATCTCTTTTCTTTTCTTTTGACAGACATTTTTGTTATAGGGTACGTGCATTCACTAGACAGACAGAGAAACAGACAGAAAGTAAGAAATCACCCCTAGAGGGGATGACCACTCCACAATCCCTTCTCCTCCAGGGATCTTGGGCATGCACGCACACGTGCCCTGCATGAGTTTCAAGTCACCGGGTCCAGGACCTGAACCATAGTCAACTATGTGGGAGTCCAACAATGTAACCACTATGTCATTTGCTGATGCTGATTTTGGGTCTATCTCTTGAACTCTCGTTGACATGGAATACTATGAGGGGACTTCAAAAGTTTATGGAAAAATATAGAATTAAAGTATGAATTTATTTTGTTGCAAAAAATTTTGAAATCCACAACAATGTTTTCATAATATGCATTTCTCATGAACTTTTTGAAGACATCTTGCGGAGTCATCACAATTTCAGGGTCCCTAACTCAGGTGCCAGAAGGAGCTATGAAAGTAAGAGAAGTTCCCTTTGTAGCTTCATTACTTTATTTTCCGAAGCCCTGAGCACCAGGTAGGGGTGGGGACATCAGTGACCTCTCCAGTTTCAAGTTTTGGAGTGGAATCAGTTGTAAGAGTTGATTTGGAAAAGCTAGGATATAAGGAGGATTTACTTGATCTGACCTCCAAGGAGTTATTCATTAATTTAGTCACTAGTTACTAACTTCAGACTGCATAAGAAAAGTATAAAGTTCTGAGGATGATTTTTTTTAACTAAAAACTAAAAACAGCATTTTTTAAACTGTGGGTCTTAACTTGTTAGTGGGATATGAAATCAAAACCAAAACAAAAAAAAAAAAAAAGAAAGATAGTAAAAATAAATGAAAAAAATAGGAGAGAACAGAAAATATAATAGATGACAAAATTTTGTTTCAGTTATAAATGGTTATAAATGTGTGTGTGCTGAATCATGACGTAAAGTGTATTACTGTCCTTACCACCAAGAAAGGCTGCAAGCCCCTGCATTAGAAGGTGAACTTTGGGACCAGCAAGTGGCATGGTAGTTAAGGCGTTGGACACTCCTGTATACTCAACCATGGTTTGAATCCTGGACCTGGTGGCTTGCTTTCTCATTTTCCCTTTCTCCAGTCAGCGCACATGCTCTGTAGCAAATTAGAAAAATAATGATGATGATAAATAAGTTAAGTAAATGATTCTTAAAACAAAAAACAAACAAACAGAAACAATGCCTGGGGGGACCAGCAGGTGGCATGGTGGCTGCGGTGCTGGACACTCCCACATGGTCAACCATGGTTTGAGTCTTGGACCTGGTGGCTTGGTTTCTCACTTTCTCTTTCTTTCTCTCTGGGTGTCTTACTCTGGTCAAATTAAGAAAAAAATGGATGAATAAATAAAATTAAAAACAAAACAAAACAAAAAACAACGTCTGGGCATTTGTAACTATTTTCCAAAGAAGTGAATGCCTAATGTTATGCCTCCCTTTAAGACTAGAGTCAGCAATACAGGAAAAGGTAAATAATAGCCTTAGGAAACTAGTATTATTCAAAATCAAATTAATTATGTAAGTGCTGTGGTAAAAAAAAACACTATGAGGCTGGCCCACAATGGAAGGCCATACATTAGCACCTGGAGACCTCCGTGAGTATGGTGGGCAAGTGAGGGCCTACGACCTCGAGCTGGCTGAAATTAGAGGTGGAGTGCAGGGATCCAGACTGTTTGGGTGCTCTGTTTGTTTCTATTGCTCATGGAAGAAATAAACTGAAAAAAATTTTAAAATTAAAAAGCATTAATAGTGTGAGTATGCTGCAAGGGAAAACAACTTAAAAGAACTCCAAAAGCAAATATTCTTGGATTATTAGACTATCAGAGTATTTTGATCATGACAGGTGGTGTGAGGAGATTAAAAAAAAAAGGCAAAGCAAAACAAAAACACTGACTGTGAACTTTGGAGTTAGGACACAAAGTCTGATTCTGTAATCTGTTAACCATATGGTTTGGGGTCAATCTCTTGATTTTCTACTGGGTCATCAGAAAAATCATGACTATTTTTCTGTTTTTCTCTGCAAAAATGTGTCTTTCCAATGACACAATAATTTGCAAAATAGGAATGGTCATTCAAGCCTTGTCAGTAACAGGGGGCTGTTGTCAAGATCTGCTGGGAGTGTGTATTTCAAGGGTGCTCTGCAGACAATACTAGATATAAAAGTAAGAGATCACAGAGAGGAAACTAGTAGGGATCTTTTCGATGGTTTGATTATTTAGCAAATATTTATCAGGTTTCTAATGTTTAGAGAGGGCTTTTCTTTCTTTTTAGTTTTGCTATGGGGTGTGTGTGATCACCAGAGAGAGAGATACAGAGAAAGTGAGAGATCACCCCACAGGGAGGATGGCCATGCTGCAATCCCTTATTCACCATTTTCCTCTAGAGATTTTTGGGATGCACGCACAGAAATTGTCAAGCCCCTAGGTGAAGGACTTCAATCTGCAGTCGGCCATGTGGGATCCACTCTGCTTTTCCAATTATTATTACAATGGAGAATGTAAACTCCATGAGAATATAGTGTTAAGCTCTCTCCTTCAGTTCTTTCTTACTTGTGTATAGCAAGAACTTAGCAGGTATTTTTGAATAAGGAGAAAAAGGAAAAAAAATTGCTGCGCTAAAAATGCCATCATTGCGCTTAAGGACATAGAGGCAGAGTGATTCATAGAGAAAATATCCACAAAGCATACAGGTCACCTGTAATAGGTGCCAAAGGGTAGGGTCACAAGGACTACGTCACTTTTAATGGTAGTGAAACAACTCCTTTCCCTTGAGAAAGGCGGCACACAGAAGTAACGACCGAGAGCCCGTCGCCAGAACAGATAGGGCGCCCAGAATGCAAGTGAGGGTGTAATTCAGAAAAGGATAAATACAAGCGTGGACTGGCAAAATAAATCCTTGTGGAGTTAAGTTGGGCTTGGTAGGAGAGGAACGCGTGATAGATCAAGCTTTGGGGAACATATTTGAGGCGGTGTGAGATATTTGTAGACATCTGTGCCCCTCGTGGAAAGGTTGTCAAGGTGACGTGACCTTGAGCTAATGAGCGTAGAAGAAATGGTTTCAGGAAATGGTTTCATCGTTCTGCCTCCGGGTGTCCAACCGAGAGAAAGGATACTGTTTCGGGACTACGCGCACCTGCATTTGGTCCTCGGCGTCCCGAGACAGGGCTGAGGGACGGACTAGAACGAACGGGCGGGGCCAGGCGGGTGGGCGGAGCCACGGGGCCCTCCCAGTGGAGACTGGAGGCCCAGGGAAGGGGCGGGGTTTCCG